TTGATCTAACTTATTTCACTTAATAGCTGACTATTTCTTTACTTTCGATCTTTCAATCGCATGGTGAACAATGTCATGTCATGGAGATGGACACCCAAGATTAATCCAATTAGGTATATTAATTTCAAGAATTTATGATCACTTCTAAAGAAGGCTCAATTTAAGAGCTGAAACGTTAAGTTAATTTGAGAATTCGTATCTATTAAAATATGTAGCAGAATGTATCTTAGAAATTTTTGTAAGATGACTTTTTATTATATGTGACAGTTATTTATCATGTTAAATTTTATTTCAATTATGACTTTACATTTATGACTTTTACAACGTTCCTTTATTTTATGTTTATGTTTATATCAAGAGTCCTTTATTATCTTTTATTATATTTTGTAAAAAAAGTTAATATAGAAAAAGATAGGAAAATTGTATTGTTTTGAATATGGGATCTAATAGTTCGTGAATTCATTAATTTAAAAACAAAATCAAATTGTATAGAAATCTTATACAAATATTGTAGAACTACTCAATAAAATACGATGCCTTCATATCCGTGCAATTGTCATGCTCGCAAAGTTAAGTCTAATTATAATTTAATTAAATAAAGAAAAACCGAGCTTTAGGTCGCAAATATATGCTCAACACGTTGCATAAAGTTACAAATACTCATTGCTGCAGTTGCCGTCACCAGGATAATTTAACTGTTAATCATGTGACAGCGATGTGTCTAATTGTCTGTTACGTTTTGAGAAGTCGCTGCAACGCAGGGGAAACAAATTTCCATCTTGGAAGAAGAGAATCTTCGGTTCCCTGGTGCCGCCTGTACCTGTGACATATGGAATTAAAAAGGTTACATGACCAGTAATGTTATTAACATTATTTAAGTTTGCATTATTTAAGATAGAGAAATATACTGTTTCTCCAATCTAAAATAATGCAATCATAAATAATGTTAATAACATTAGTTAACACATTGCTCAGAAATTCTCTTAACGCATTTTGTATTTAGATTAATATAAAATGTTGTCTAATATTATTAAAAATTCTTCTCTTATTTTTGTTAATATTTATTTAATAAATATATGTTTTATACATTTTTAAATATTACTGTAAAAGTTACAATTAAATTTTGCTAATGTTATTTTATTTTTCTTTTATTAAAAACATAATGCAACACATTTTCCCGTCCCACTTTACAGACTGCGGACTGTCAGATATACAAATATTGGATACCTGGTGTGGTTAAAAAATGTGATGCATAGCATTTTCATACTTCATAGCATCATACTTATACACTCAACCACTCACACTTCATAATACTTCACAGACGGAATTTTTCCTTTATGATTAAATACGATTACGTGAGAACACATGAGAAATTCGTTACACGTTATCACACTTCTTCTTCTTCTTAATTTAGTTGGCCCAGGTTCCGTTATGAAATCGGATTAACGTGGCCAGTCATACCCAAAAAGATATATATGTGAGTCAACGCACAGTCAAAGTCGGCAACACTTTCAAAAATTGCTGATGCAATGACCGCGAGAATGGCGTTGCTCGACCGGTCTCCGGGCGCCTGCATCTACGGCGTCGTCACGCCGCAATAACGCGCGTCATGAGAGCCCAGGTCGTCAAAAGGTGCAAATGACGAACAATCGAGACGAGCTCAACCGCGAACACGCATCTGTATGATAAAATGCACAGTCAAAGTCGGCAACACTTTCAAAAATATACAATGAAGAGCACCCGAACCGAAACGCGTCCGTAACGGTCGGATGGTTCGTCGGAACTACACGTTATCACACGTTACAATTCATAAGCATTCGTCGAAAATAGTCGACAACAACCCATAGTAGGAATAGAGACCTAGGTTAGAGATCCTATATGGAGAGGTGGGCCAATGTCCGGCCATAGAACTTATAATACGTCATAGAACTTATTATAAGTTCTATGTGTCCGGCATGATGTGTGAAACCGGAAATCACGTGATTTTGGAAATGCGCGCTAATATATCAACGCCAATTTCGAAACATCACGTAACACTACTTGTTTATTATAACTTTGTTAACTCGAAAGTTATAATGAATAATTATTAGAAAAAGTTTATTTTTCGTAAATATAGAATTGTGGATAAAACAGACAAAATAGACAAAAACGTGCAAAACGTATTAAATTCGAATAAAAAAGTTGCTTTCCATTTACACACAGTGATACAAAATCTAAAGTAATATGAATATTTTATATTTAAACAATGACTTTACTACTTATTTATTTGGTGAAAACTTATCGCATAATAACACAGATTTCTAACCTCATATTAGTGATATTTAATGTGAATTAACAAGACTTGATAAATCATACGATCTCGAGTTTGTGCAGATTGTTAGCAAAAATCAATTGAATTGGTAGAATGAAAAAAAATAACACTTTTAAGTTAATTTACATATAAAATGTATGTATGTATTTATAA